TCCCTTCTCAATATTTCTGTTTGATCATAGTTAGGCGTATGGCCCATTGTAATACAATGTTCACTTAATGCACAGGCTTGTACTTTATTCAGATTAATGTCACTCTTGTGAGATGTTAATCTTCCGGACAAATTTCTGGACGTTTCTCCAATATATACTCTATTACAATTATTACAGGGTAGAGAGTACACTACATTGGAGCTTTCTTTATTATTTAAGGGTGTTTTAAGTTTAGTATATAATTTCGATATTGTTTTTATATTTCTGGTTCCAATTTTAATATTAGGTACTTCTCTAAATGAAATTTAGTAGTCTGCTTGTTAAACCTGGAATGTATGGTTTATTAATTACTTTTCAGCACATCTATCTAAGATGAAGACCAACCTAGTATTAAATATGAAAAGTAGGGTTATAAGTTTATCACATCCTGAATATAAAACAGCCGTCTTAAAAAACTAAAAACGATCGTGTTAGAAAATTCCTTCCCAGCGAAACTTCTAAATAGACTTATTTTTGGTGTCTCTCAAGTCATCAGAACAAATATCTTGACGCTCTGTGGTTCGCCTCGGTTGACTAGTTGGTCTTCTTCGTGTTCCTCTACCTTCGTTTGTCCACACACGACAGACACGCATAACCGTCATTGCCGTACAATTAACACGACGGCCAATTTCGTGATTTTCGTGATACGACAAACCCATATCTCTATACGCAATAATTCTACCCTGTCAAAATCGCTAACATGGTGGTAATTTTGGTGTCTTCGAACTCGAGGCATTTTCTTACACTGAATACAACTATTAGACTGAGGAATAATAACTAAAAATTTCTATATGAACCGGTCTTCACAAATCGGTCTCTTCACAAAAAAATTTAAAGATAAAACTTTATTTTTACAAAAAGTAGAAAAGATAAAACATTGGTATTGTTATCATAGCATGTTTTAAATATAGTCATTCTGTTGCCAAAAAATTAAGTTCAATAAATTATTCCTTCTGAGTATATACTTCTAATGTCACTGAGTATAAAATATGTTTAAAATATACTTGTTAACCAGTAACAGTTACTTTCGTGTCGAATAGAAAAATACCTCTACTGTGGAAATTCAGGAACTAACCAATGAAAAATATAATCGTCCGGATAATCCGGGTTGTGTTTATTTGGAAATCGCGCTAGTTGGCAGTTGGCAGTTGCTAGTTAGATAACGTTTATGACCGCACTTCAAATCAATCGACATGGCAAATCTAAATATGCAGCCGCCACGGCTCTATTTATCTTCGGTGTGAATTTGTTCCCTTGATAAATATGCCAAATAGCGCTGACCAAACAACACTAGCGATACGAATCCTTTAATAAATAGGTATAACGCATAGTTTTGATTTTGTTTATTTCGGAAATTAAATGCCTGAAAGAAATATGTACATTATTACGATACTTATGAATTTGCTTTTTAAAAAAGTTCTGTTTATTATACCCTCGTTTTATATCCTACAATACATGCTCCGATTTTTTTGCGACAAATACCTGTTAGTAGGGATGAACCTACCTGAACCATTAGATCCTATCTTCTACCAATGATATTCATTGATCAACTCACTGCATTCACTGGAGAACTCCAATTTAAAGCCGACAGATTAAAATTGTAATTTTTTACTGCGACGTTTACAAATTTTTCAGATGGCTTATGACCACAACTTGGCTAAAACCAAATACCACTATAAAAACTCGAGGACGCTGGCCCGTTGAGCTACAAAACTGTCGTGATTAATAAGATTGAAATAATTTTGTTTAGAAATAAACTAAAAAAGACACATTATTGACACAATGCATAAATAATATAGTAGATACAGGAACAGACATCAAAGCAAATGGTGGAATAATAAAAAGTAAGTACGAATACCCAGAAATGACCATAGATACAGATGGAAAAGATAATAAAGATCTTCTTCTTCATCTTCCTTCTTGTATGTAGGCTTTAAAGCCTGTTTCTTCTTCAATATTAGCCTCGTAAATTGTTTAAACTGTCGCACCATCTTTTTCTTGGTCTGCCAATACTTCTTCGTCCATTTGGTGACTTATCTCGTGCTATTCGTACTATTCTATCCTCTGACATTCTACTGATGTATTCGCTTCCACTCCTGTTTTCGTTTTGTCACCCATCAATTTATGTCTTCTATATTACATGCTCTTCTTATGTCTTCGCTTCTCTCCCTATCCAACAGACTTTTCCATGATATTCGTCGGAGTATTTTCATATCTGTTGATTCTAGTGGTCGTCTAGTTTTAGATGTGTCAGGTCTTATCTCCGCCGTATATGTTAATATAGGTCTAATTGCAGTTTTATAGATTCTTGTTTTCGTGTCTTGTCTTAGGTGTTTGTTCTTCCAGATTGTGTCATTAAGAGATCCCGCCGCTTTACTTGCTTTTAAGTTTGTTGTCGTACTTCTTCTTCAACATCTCCATAACTAATTATATCTGTGTATCTAATTGTTGTCATACATTTTGTTGCATACAAAACAAAACAGCTTAACACCACTCTAAAAAACTATTAAGCACATAAATATTTTTATATGGGTTTAATGTGTTGTCACGTTAAATAGTACCTATGTAAAGGTGACAGCACATAAAACCAACCACGAACCAGAACCTAAAATTAATATAGAGCAACTAATGTCATTCCTTAACGAGTTTAAAACACATATTTTCACAAGAAACGAGTCAAAATATATAAATCATAAGCAAAAAGTAATTACTTTTCTAAACCTAAATAAAAATCGTTGGTTTTAGCGGTAATCATCTGCAGCTGCATACCACATCATAAACTGCCAAAATATGCAACAAAAAAATTTAAAAGCCTTCTTTAAATTATTCTGCAGTAAATTCGTAGTCGAGTAGACTGAAATACAGGTATTCACAACAACAAAGGGTCGTAATCGTTTATAAGTAATAACATAATGCCACACAACTGAGTCCCCACGTACTGACTGAGAGACTCCAGAAGACTTTCAGATATACTGGACTACTAAATAAGCAAAGGAGTGTCCAGAATATCTAACAGAATGTCTAATAGAATACAGCTATGATCTCTCATCGGACCATCCACCGTTATCTTGAAGAAGAGTGCCACAATTGAAAACAACCCACCCACTCTTCGACTGACGTCAAAACACACCAACTGGGCAGGTTTTAAATTCTACCTAGAAGAAGACACCAATCTTAATTTGCGGATCAAATCTCACATGACATACATATAGCAGCTTCAATACTTTACCACATTGTGCTGCATGGCAAAAATGAACTCTTGTCGACTCATCAGCTTACTCCCAAGCTCCCAACCGTAAGGTTTTCAAATATTGCTGCTACAATGATATATAAAGATCATAAATTCCAAAAATTACGAGCAAAACATCAACTTCGTTTTAAAAATGATCACTCCACCAGCCAACAAGTCATCGGCTGATAAACGAAATATCAGAAAGTCTTGAGGAAAAAATATATTGCAACGCTATATTCACAGACATCTTACAAGCGTTTAACAAAGTCTGGCACAGAGGTCTGCTTTACAAAGTAAAAAAGCACTATCCAACAACTATTTTCTTCAACTCAAATCCTACATATCAAATATAATATATCTGTAAAATTCAATGACCAATGATCCAATATAAACCCATCCTATCAACTCCTAAATTCCGCACAACAGAGTTCTCGAGCTTTTTCATTTTTCATTCTACTACACAGCCTATATACCAGAAACTAATAATACTACAATCGCTGCCTTTGCTGACACGTAGCGATAATAACTGTAAACTGAGATTCCATACTGAGTGATTGATAAACAAAATAGGAAACAAAAGTAAACAAAACAAAATCAACTAAATTAACATTTACCAATCGCCCAATACATGCTCATTTGTAAGAATGACAACATAAGATTACCAACAGTGATAGAAGATAGATACTTTAGGCTAAATTTTGACCAACGTCTTACTTGTAAGAAACATATCCGAGATCGAAAAAGACAGCTGAACCTAAAATTTTGGCAAATGTATTGTGCCCTTGGACGTAAATTAAAAGTCAACACCAAAATAAAATTTTGTATAAAAAGCCATACTCAAACCTATCTGGTAAACGGACTACACCTATGAGGCTATGCAAAGCCAACGTTGCTAAATCTAATCCAAAGATTTCAGTGTGAAGCGCTAAGACCGATAGTGGATGTACCTAAGTAATCAAACACTTCACTACGAACGATATCAGAAACTTCTAATAGTCCATTTAGTTTAAGTACAATAATAGTCTATTGAAAATATGTATTCAGACAGTACATTTTCCAACGATATATCGCCTGTAAAATTTATTATATTTACGGGCGCATTCATAATCCTACCAACTGATTTGACCCCTTTAATAAATAAAAAAACAACATATACTTAAGTGTCAAAAATATCTGACAACTCTTTGTAAAACAGTGCTTTTCTTTAGGCGAAATATTGTTTTCAAACATTTTCAAGTCGTCTACAATCATTTTGATTACAATAAACTCATAGGATAGTGTCGTAGATCTAATACTTTTTGAACAATTTCTTTAGAAAACCCGCAGATTACAGTCTTGTAGCGTCTGTTAGTTGTTGTGCTACTTCTTTCAAATGTTGGTTTTTGCTACCGGTGGTGATACTGGTGGCGCAGGTGTGCCGATGTAGCTAAGAGTTCTTTGTCCAGACAAATTGGTCTAGAATCTTGGTTGGACATAAAACCATGCTCCTTGGTTCTTGTGCTCTTTTTGCAGCCAAGAAATCTAAGCATTTGGATATTAAGCATATTCTTTCTTCAACAAATATTAAATGGGTACGAAGAAAATTGTTCAACACGTGTTAGACCGATCATATTATCCAATCCCTTCTCTTTGATGCCCTTCAAGATACCAAAGTACACTTTTCCGGTACAGAACAGTAATTTCTCGACACTTTAGGGGTTATTTGAAGCAGGTCCGCTATCTGAAATAATTATCTGGAATTCGGTTCCTTTGACCATGTCATCCAACGAGCTCCTAGCCTCAGGATGATGCAACAAGCTCTTGGAGACATAATGACCAAGGGTTTTCTGAATTGTAAAGCTGTTTGTCTTCTGAAGATGTGGAAGAGATTGGACGGTGTGGTGCAGTTGGCGACGATCCCGTTGATATCGTGAAGCTGACGAACGGCAAAGTCGTCGCTTTCAGGTGAGAAGTAGTCTGGGTCGTCTAAGGACATTTGTAAGAAGAAGCATGGTCCTATGTCCAACCAAGATTCGGGACCACTTTGTCTGGAGAAAGAGGTATTAACTGCATCGGCAGACCCTGCGCTGTCAGTACCGCCATCGGTAGCAAAAACCAACATTTAAAATAAGTAGCACCACCACTGGCAGATGCAACAAGACTGTTAACTGCGGGTTTTCTAAAGAACTTGTTCACAAAGTATTAGATCTACGACACTATCCTATAAGTAAAACAAATATATGTTGTTTTTAATTATTAAAGGGGTCAAATCAGTTGGTAGGATTATAGTGGCGCCCGTAAATATAATGAACTTTACATCACGATATGTCGTTGGAAATGTACTGTCTGAATACATATTTCCAATAGACTATTGTTGTACTTAGACTAAATGGACTATTAGAAATTTCTGTTACCGTTCCGCTACTTTAAAGTTACATCAAAACAAATCTATTATTTGATTCCTAAAATTAAATGGACAACTTTCAGTATCTTATGAACAAATATTCAATTAAATTCACTACGACTTTAAGAATTCATTTCATCCGAGAAAAAATCGATCAAGCCATAGAGTTACAAAATAAATACACCATTTACAATGAAAATGAGCTAGTAAGAGAATTATTCAACATAATCCAGCCACAAGAGAACCTGACTTCAAGACCTACTTCAAATCTATCGATCTATCTATACAGCCCTTGCTGTCCAATTTTGGACATAGGCCTCCTCTTCGTTCTTCCACGGCTCTCTATTGTAGGCAGTTTGTATCCACTTCGGGCTTAACTAAAACTAAACTAAAATAGAACAAAGTGAGAAATCATTGGATGTCTCCCTTCACGCCAAAAACCACTGACACATTCACTTAATACTCTGTAATGATGTAGATTGTTAATAAATAGTTATAAAAAAATTTACTTTAATGGAAATTTATTCAATACCTACCAAAGTTTTTTCTAGTAAATTTTGTTTTGAGATTACGTAAAATATATGAACACTTAACATTTTTCTATTGTTAAATGAAATATAAGCTTTTAAATACTATATTTAAATCTAAAAATAATGTTTATTTAAAAAGTATAAAATAATTTCTGTGGTCAATATTTTATAGTAATATCGGACGGCATTAAACATCATCGATGATAAATGTCCGGTCGAATCGAGCACAATTTCTATCAAAATCGGATGTGGCCGGGACACATTTACAGCTAGGAGATAAACGATCGTTGATTTAGTATTTAGATTGCTCTCCAATGTTGGTGCAAATTCATGGTGAGCTATTAGTTAACAGCGAGAGGACACGCCAGTGAATTTCTGAATCAAAGAGCCAGAAATAATCGCACTAAAGTCCCTCTTGTTGCATCGGATACACATGCTGTTGTTACTTTATTTCTATTTAAATTTTTAATGGGATTCTAACCGACTGTGGACTTAAATTGATTGACATGTTATTAAAATTAATTTTCTTTAGCAACTACATATTACGAGTAAAGTTCTCAGCCAGGTGTGGGAAATCGATATTATAAAATTACAAAATGGTTCTTTAGATATATATATATATATATATATAATATATATATATATATATATATATATATAATATATATATATATACGTAGGAACTATCAGTTCCTACTATTATTTAAAAACGTTATAAAAAATATTATATGTAAAGACGTCCTTATTAACAAACCACGACTCCAAAAAAGTTGAATTTTGGATTTTATTGTTATTACAATGATCCATGGTAGCTCTATATTGCTGCCTAAGCAGTAAACTCCAAAAAAATTTAACTAATTCTAATGGAAAAAACAAAACTCATCTTTTTTGCTTGGAAATTTGAGCAAGCCTGTTAACTCCTGGCTGTGGCAGCCTGTTTCCATAGTGTAGCATGTGAGTTGTGTGGTGCTTGGCTGATTTATTCTGCCTGTGTAAATATGTTTCCAGTTCATCAAATGACTCTCAAATTTGATGGTAAGTTACTTGAATGTTCTAACATTAGTTTATTCTCGCTTGTTTAAGCTCAAATATATTAGCAAATTGATAAATTCCAAGGGCATTGTAGTTACTTGGTTTGCTTACAAATCACACTGTTTGGTTAGTTTCCTATTCAGTGGAGTTGCGGGTTTTCATACTTACTCTTAAACTCTTTAAATTAAATTAAATTAAATTAAATGTAAATATAATAAAGTTTTAATACGTTTTATGTTAAATAATTATCAACTATATTATACCGTATGGATTTTACGACAGTCAAAATATTGTTAGTATGTTTTTTGGAGTTGTGCAACGAAAATATTTTGCCTACCACACCTCGTAAGATTATGGGGTAGTGAGAGGGCAAGCAAAATAATCGCTACTTATGCGAACGGCACTCAGGGTTTGGTAGGAGAGGTAGGGTCGTGGATAAGTAAAAGATAAGGGGTGGATGGGCAACTACAAAAAATGAAATACATCATTAATCTCTTAGGATAAACAAAATAAAAATAAGCAGGAAACACCTCAAGGAATTTAATATAGGGCGCCACTTGAGGTGCCTAATTATACCTATTACAACCACTAGTTGTAACTAGGGAAATAATTATAAAACATCAAAAACATATCTTTTTCAAATAAAACTCAAAAAGGGTTAGCTCAAAAAAAAATAAATAAAATGTTAAGAAAACAAAATTTAACATTTATTTTTGTGTCACCACAAACAGTTACAACATGGAGAAATACAAGAATACAAAAAACTTACGTGTGTCATCCGCTTACAAACTCCAGGAGTTGGAGATACTACATAAAACTTACAAATGTTACCGCATTACAATTTTTAAATGTTACAATTTCTAAATTTTAACGAAAGCAATTATTTATTTAAAAAAAATTGTCTGTCTTTACTTTAAAATTTGATCAAAAAGTTACCTGGATTTTTCACTAACAAAATGCACTAGAATTTGTGGAACCAGACGCCACTGGAATCTCCGAAACCATAACTGGAACTGAGGGCTTCACTCTCTCTGCGTAACGAACAACTCCATCTCCAAACTGCCAAAAGCCTTGGATAACAAACAGGAAAAAACAAAACGAGGATGGAAACGACGATTCTTCCAATCCTCACTCAAAACATTAATTGAAGCATTTACTGCCACAAAACCACCTTTCACTGCTACATATTCTTCATAAAAAAGACGAACAAACGTCTTCATAAAAAACACGAACAACGAGGAACATTTCAAATTTGAAGTCAAATTCGGACATAACGTTGATCGCTTCTCACCGCGGCTCCAACAATAGTGACGGTAACGAAATTAAAATTTGTTCGCATAACTTAATAATGAACAAACACTTGACAGGAATTAAAAAGCAAAGATTCCATTTTCTACGACGTATAAAAATTATAACGCGGCTTTGAATAAAACATTAAAAGAATTTGCCGAAGTAATATATTTTTAAAATATTAAACAACTCTGAAATGGTTTTATTAACATCCAGCAATGCAAATACAATTATTGAAAACAGGTTTTTCTCCCACTTTTTCCATCAAAAATTCATCCGAACTAATATCTAAACTCAATCATATAAATCTCCTTCCAGATATGACTATGCTTTCATTTGACGTTAGCAATCTCTTTACTTCTGTTCCTAAACTTGAAACTATTCAGTTAGTCCACAACCTTCTTACATCTAAATCAATTAATCCTTCAGTCATCACACCAATAATAGATACACTTTCCTTGTGTTTATCACAAGATTACTTTTCTTTTAACAACATTTTTTATAAACAACCTGATGGCTTAGCCATGGGAAGTTGTCTTTCCCCCTTCTTAGCTGACCTCTTCATGAATCATCTAGAATCCACTCAAATTATGACTAACAATACAATTCTACACTGGTTCCGTTACGTTGATGATTGCTTAGTGTTCATTAGAGGTAACTCAAATACTGCTTCTTCCTTACTTAATACTATCAATAATATTCACCCCAATATTAAATTCACTATGGAATTAGAATCAAACTTCTCCATCAATTTCTTGGACCTGTCCATCAATAGAACAAATAATGTCTTTGATTATAGCATCTACAGAAAACCTACACAAACAGATCATGTCATACATTTCAATTCCAACCATCCTATTTCTCATAAATTATCTGCATTCAACAGTTTTATTCATCGTTTAGAAACCACCCCATTATCCAAAAATAACTACAACCAAGAACTAAACATTATCAAACAGATTGCTTTCAACAATGGCTACAACCCTGATATAATCCACAAACTCATTTATAAAAAGAAACGTAAATTGCTTCAACAATCAGCTTACCCTAACATTACTTTAGATTCCCCATCTTATTTCTCATTACCATTTCACTGTCCAACACTCTCTGAATCAATAAAAAACACTATCCTGAATTCTGTTGAAAATATTAAGATTTCCTTTAAAGTCAACAATAAACTGAGTAGATCATTATGCAATAGTAAGGACCCTATTCACTTCACTAAACGCAGTGGAGTTTATAAACTTCAGTGTTCTGACTGTGATGCCACTTACATCGGTAGAACTTGTAGATCTCTAGTAACCAGGGCCATTGAACATTCTAAGGTAGAGAACACTTCTTCTTTTTCACATCACCTTAAATATCACAACCACACAATCAAGGTACCAGATGATATCTCTCTTCTTCATAACATCCCTGGTAGAGATTATCTCAAACTCGACCTTTTTGAGGATTTGGAAATAGTCAAGGAAAAGAAAAATAGTCCCAATTGTGTTAATCGTCACACCAGCATCAACAGAGACTTCGTCCCACTTCATCGACAATTATTCTCCTAAACTAACTTTCTCTCTTTTAACTACCCATCCAATTTTACTTCACTTCTACATTTCTTTTTTCTTTTTTATTTCCCATAGCTAAATTTCAACTTACATAATCATTCATACTTAACTCTATACTTGTCACCATTAATACACTAACATCACCCCTTTGCCAATATCCAACTACCCATCCTCTCCAATAACTACCATCACTCATCATACACATTTTTTATAATTATTCATTTTACATCTTTTTTCTCTTATCACAATCAGTTTTAATATCACCAGTTTAAATCACCATATTCACCTTCTATTTCCTTTTCTTGCTTTCTCGTTAATTTCCTTTTTCTTGTTCTTTCCTCTACTCATCTTCCATAAATTACAATCCTACTTTTATATATATTCATTTAATCATACACATACAATCATACACATTTTCTTATAAATATTAATTTTACATCTATCTACCTCCTATCACAATCAGTTTCAATTTCTCCATCTTACATCGTCACATTCACTTTCTATTCCCTTTCTTACCTTCTCGTTTACTTCTTTTTCTTTTCCTCGACTCATCTTCCATAAATTACAAT